TAAAAAGGCAGCTTTCTTACAAAAACATATTTTGTAAAAAACAGCTCTCTTACATAAAAAGCAGCTTTCTTACAAACATATATTTTGTAAAAAAGCAGCCTTTTTACAAAAATATATTTCTGAAAAAAGCAGGTTTTTTACAAACGTTTAATTTGTAAAAAAGTAGGATTTTTACATAAAAAAGCAGCTTTCTTACAAAAACAGTTTCTGTAAAAAAGCAGGTTTTTACAACTTTATTTTTGTAAAAAAAGCAGTATTTTTTACAACCGTTCAATTTGTAAAAAAGCAGCTTTTTTTACATAAAAATGACGCTTTTTTACAAGGACCGTTTTTTTATGCAACAAAACGTCAGATATTTCCTTAACACAAATTTGATTTATTTTGATACATGATTTAAAAACAACGTGATGCGTCATACAATGTATCTGAATAGATGTCGGGGTGCACTAAAGACGTCAATATAGGACTCAGTGTTCTTTTTATGAAAAGCAGAATCTGTTACGTAGGATTGTAGAGCGACTGGTGTTAATAGATTTAAACGGTTGTTGGTTTTTGTTCGTTCCATCTTTTCCAAAAACAAATAATGATAAAAAGAATGGCAACCTTAAAAGGAAGCGGGCGGGAACTTAAAAAAAATTTTTTCACTTGGGCTATCCCCATTTTTTTCTCCGTTAAGCGTCATCCGACCGACTCCAATTTTCGGCATTTTCAAAAAAAAGGAATACCCCGCGAGCAAAGGTTTCTCTCGGCTCCTGCGCATGCGTAGCTTTTACCGATCAAGTTTTAGCTTTTACGAAGTCTTTCGCATGGCTTGTCTGTCGCGTGACCCCTGAGTTTGTGTACGCCCTGTAAACAAAAAAGTAAAGTAACTACTTTAATTCATTCTTTTAATCTGAAAAATGAGCATTGTAACAGCATTTCGCGATCGTAGCACAGAAGTTTCGACAGTGTCTTGGTACTTTTATTTCCGCCATGTTGATTTTATGTCTTGTCAAGGTTTCTCGGCTCTGGGGTACCGGACCTCTCTTGGGGCCACCTATTCCCAAACGTCTTCAGTGATTTCGACTGACCGACCAAAAATTGGGAAATATATTCGAGGCTAAACGAAAAAATGGGGTTGGCCTTGGCCTCAGCCTCCCACGCAGACGTTCTTAGGGGTTCGTCACGCGTTCGTGTCCCACATGGGGCAGGAACGTGTGATTAACCCCAAGGAACGTCTGCGTGGGAGGCTACCTTGGCCTAAGACCGTCTTTGCAATCAATGTCCAATGTATCCTCAAACTTTTCCCAGGGTTCTCTCCCTTCCTTCCTGGGAACGAGGTCATGGGATTCTCTGAACCAAATTTGTGGTACACCCTGGTTGTTTACCATTTACATGGGCAAACCGGTCAGTTCCATTTACCGGAAAACGGCCGCGAAGGCCTGAACCTTGTATCAAAGAGATGGCTTTGAAGAAATGGAACACGAATTTCCGTTTGCAATATTCCAGCCGGAAAAACAGGACCTTTTCAGATGTTCCGTTGCTCCCGGAAATTTTCAGTTGGGTAGACCAAAAAAGTCGTGTTCCATTTACTTTCCAACCGGATTTCCCGGAAAATTGTTGTAAACGGTAAACAACCTCTGTCTTCTGTCACGTGCTTCTGTAACTAGACAAACAATCAGGCCTTACTTCTCGTTCGTTATATTCTGCAGCCTTTCACCTTAGGCCAGTGAACAGAACTTCTTTGTTTTTGATGCCACTTTTATTTTGCGGTGAATTATAATTGGTTCTATTTTACCGTGGGTTAATATTGTTTTGCCTCGAATTGGTTGTATTTTGCCGTGAATTATAAAATTTGTTTTGCCATGAATTTATATAGTTTTGTGTCATTTTGCAGCGAAATTATATTGTGTTGGTCGTCAGTTGAAATCTGCTTTGCCGTGGCTCTTTATTTTACCGTTGCACTCGTGGGCTCAGCTATCCTGCCTCGTAATGGCGTCGATTCAAGAATTTCATAATTTTTCATAATTTATGCGTAGCATTCTTTTTGATTGGGCACTTTCAGACCTGCCAAATCTCACGATTCCGTCGTAAATCTCACAATTGTTTTATCTTTTCTCTCACGGCAACACTCCCAATGTCACGGTTTTTGGGAAAATTCATTCTGAAATGAAATGTGGCCTTGTTGAATGAAATGGAAATTATTCAATGGCGAATGCTAGTGCCTTTTTAAGCCTTGTTGGGACTTTGTTTAACGTTTTGGCCATGATTAGTTGGCTTATCGGTAAGAAACGATTCCTTGCTATAAGTTTCGTCCATTTTTTACCTCATGGACCACAAATAAAGTAGCCTGTCCCAGGCGTTCAGATAGTAGAGTGCGGCGGTCAGTGCCGTGGGGAGCGAGTTAAATTGTACAACTGGAAAATGAGGGGAGAGGGGGGTAACCGAGGGGGGAACGGGGGGGGGGGGGGCGGGGCTACAAAAAAAGAAAAGGCAGTATTTAAAAGACTACTTAAACGCCCCCCCCAATGGAAAAATAGAATTTCACTACTTTTTTTAAAATACCCAGATTTTTTCTTGAGTTTTTATATTTTTCTTT